TATTTTTTTTTTTTTTTTTTTTCAAATCCATTGCTACCACTTTCGCTTATTATCTCGATACTATAACTTTTCCAGCATACCCTAAAATATATGTATGTACAAATGTGGCAAGGCAGCCATTTAACTTTGTATCATCATTATTTATTTATTCTTTTTTTCTTTCTTCCCTCCCTCACATTTTCCTCCCTTCTCACTAGAATAATTTTAATCATCCCTCTGAGACTCGTTAATTATAATATAAATTAATTTACCTCGTTTATGATTCCAGCAAACACATTAATTATCGTTAACATGTCTATATAAAATCAAATGTTATATAATCACTTTCTCTCAACTGCTTTAGCATACACTTAAAAATTCTTTAAATTTATACACTTTAACTTTATTTAAAAATCGATAATAGTAAGGAATACAATTAGTTAGTTATTAATAATTATAATCATAATCGATATTACTAGTGGTTTTTTCTTTTACGTTTTTTTTTATTATTATATTACTTTATAAAATAAATTCTGAAAAAACAGCCGTAAAGATAAAAACTTTTTCTCTCTCTCTCTCTCTCTCTCGTTCTCTCTAAATTTTCTCCTGTCACAATCTCTCTAACCTTTCTCTCCCTCTCACTCTCTCCCTCTCTCTCTCTCTGCCTCTCAAATAGGTATTAAATAACGTATTATTTAGTACAACCACAAAGTCATCTCTTTCATTTTATTATTTTTTTTTCTTTATCTATTTTAGCATCTTATTAATTTACTATTATTTGGATGTTCAATAACTTGTGGCCTCTGTTTTAATTAATTTACTTTTTTTATGCGCGTAGAAGTGTATGTGTAAGAAATGTGTATCTGTTGAGAGTACGTGTTCGTGTAATTATCATAACAATTAGTGTAAAAAGTGGTATTCGTTTGATTGAGCTCCCTAACTCGTCTTTTCTTGTCATTTAGTTTAGTAGTCAGTAAATGTGTTATTGCGTTGATCCCAGAAGTTTCCACGAGTCGCGTTTGTTAATGCTTTCTCTTCATCCCATTGACTTTTACGTATCCCTGTTTCTACGATTAACTACGCGATACTGTTAATTAAATTTACCGAATTGGAAATGGTAACGAGCAGTTCAGATAGACGTACGGAATAAGTACAAGAGTAATTGATATTTTTTTTTAACGTCGATCAACGATTTAAAAAACTTGACCGCCTTATATCGCGAGAGTTCGTAATGTTATTACAATAAGTAATGAAAAATGTAAAAATAATAAGAAAAGTAGGAAAAAAAAAAAAAATAGTAATTGTAACAATTTGACAAGAAAACAATTAGATACTATATATGAAGGGAAAGAAAACCCTAATCGTATTGAGATCAATAGTGAGGAAGCTTACTCAAATTGCTGTTCCGTTATTAATTGTAACCTACTGATTATATTGTGACATCGTAAAAAATTTAAAATTACATTAGCGTTAATACTTGCGATTCTTATTGACAAAGTAAGACACAACGCGACCCGCTCAGTAATAAACATGAGCATTTGAGAGCATTCTTCCGAAATATTTCTTGTTTAGAACTATGGTAAATCCTACAGAGTAAATACAATTAAGTCATATATTTAATCAGGTAGACTTTTCAGATCGAAGCCCCCCGCCGAGTACACCGCACAAATTACAAGTACCCCTCCCTCCATCAATTAGATATCATGATCTCTTTTCATCTCTAATCATCTAAAATTTAAACACTTATAAGCATCATCGTACAATATTTGTAATTATCATAGACAGTAATAATAGTGTGTATAATAGTTGCAATCATAATGGTTGCAGTAGGAGCAGTCGCAACAGTAAGTAGTGATAAATAGCTGTAAATAGTTTATAATGGTAATAGTAGTATAATAGTAATAATTATCATAGAAGTAATTAATTAATAGTAACAATAATTGTAATCTTAAACATGCCTAATAATTAACTATTATAAATCCGAAGTAAAAAATAAACTAATTTTCACATTTAATGCAATAATGACCGTACAGAAACCCGTCTGACGGACCAATCATTCTTATTATACAAATTTATTTTTCATTAAAAAATTCATTATCTTTTTTATTTATTTATTTATTTATTTATTTATTTATTTTCTTTCTCGTCCTCTTCCTTCCAGAAACGATAAAAATTCTTAGTGATGGAAACGGAAAAGGACCAGACAACCTAAATTATAGATAAAATCAAAAGCGAAAGAAATTAAGAAAAAAGGGAATTAGACATCGATATGCCTAATATACTAATAATGATACGTCGTGAAGATAAAAAACTAGAAAGAGAAGAAAACATATTCTTAAGGAAACTGCACCCTGCTGTCATAGAGTTATAGATATACATACATCATATTAAAAGGATCTATTTATTTTACACTATCTCTGTAGTTTAGATTATAAGTCAGCCTGTGTGAACACCTTACTTAATTATTTCGTTAATTACTCGTTACTCATTTTCCTTTTTTCCATCATTCCAGCATAACAACTATTTTAATAAATACGAGATCGTGGAGGGACGGGTGTCTCAAATGTGCAAGTCAATCGCTGACTTCCACTGGAGACCGTAATATAATAGTATTTCATTTTACTTAATATTCTTAGTTTCAAATTACCGAAGAGTTCACTAAAAGTATCAAAAAGGTGAACGAGCATCGAAATTTGTGCCATCTAATGAGAATTAATATCTCAAAAAACGAAATCTCATTCACCCCCGCTCGAATGCTGTTGTGTAATTAATGCTCAGCATTTCTTACATTTCTTTACACTCGCTTTTTACTTTAATGCTTTAGTTCACTTATTCCATCTGTTCTAGTTTAACTCTTATAATACTTCTATGTTCCGCTTCCTACCCTCTATCCCAGTGCCATACAAAATTCGCTTGCACCATGGGTGTCCATTTTTTTATCCTACCATTTTTATATTCATCTGCTTTGCTTTATGTTTCTTTCAGTTTACGTCTTTCAGCCTGTGGTTTCAATTGTTTCCACCTTTGAAACCCAACAAGATCATGGGCCGTTCACGCGAGCGATCAATGAAATCAATGTTTCGAGAAACCTAACACACCCTATTTTCTTTGACGCTTCCGTTTTACAAACTTGGCCAAGATGCATTTCTCTTTTTTTCGATTGCCAAAAAGGATATGTCAAAAAGTATTATGTTTCATCAAGATCGTTAGAAAACTGGAAGTACGACCGCTCGCGAACGACATACCGGCTCGATGGAGACATTCTTTGTACGAACAATTCCCGACAAAATTTTTCAAGAGTTAAAAAACATCGATAAATAAAAATCTCGAGTACGGTATTTCGATTCGACGCATACAATCGACAATAAATTCTGTAAGAAAGAAAAAGAAAATAGTATCAAACTCCCCGAAATTCTTCTCACAACAATTTACTACCAACATATTGAAAATAAAATCTGTTTCTTATTACTGTTAAATATAAATAGAATATAACCAAAGAATGTCCCAAGAATCGAGCGCAGATTCTCACGATCAATGCGCAATATCTCTGTTTTTTTTTTTTATTTTTTTTTT